GTTTAATAATATTCAATTAGCCTAACCACAAAAATTTCTTGTAAATTATATGTTTTCTATTGTTTCTTGCTTTATTGGATTGATAAAAAAACCAAAATAAGAACTTGATTGACATAAAACCAATTTCATTCATAAGTTTCCATTCGTTTCTACCAAAATACATCGTTTCCTTGCATTTTTGAAACGTGTCCGAAACGTTTCTATTTTTGGAGTCACCGAAACATATCTCCGAAACGAAACTTTAAACCATGACCAGAATAATTGACCACCATCATGAGTCCCTAGCCATTCTCCAAATGGGCCATCAATATCCTTGGCCCCTTGCCCATGAGCTGCGGTCAATTCAAGTTTGTGGTGGTAGCCATCGACTACTTCACAAAGTGGACGGAATTTGAGTCTTTAGCCAAAATAACAGATAAGAAGGTGAAGGACTTTATCTGGAGAAATATGGTGTGCCTCTTTGGAATACCCCATGCCATAGTGAGCGACAATGCCAAATAGTTTGACAACAAGCTCCTTAATAGTTTCTGCGCCGACCTCCAAATCAGGTAGCGCCATTCTTGTCCAACTCACCCCCAAGCAAACGGACATGCATAAGTCATCATAAGGACTATACTACGTAATCTGAAGACTAGATTGAAAAGTTCCAAGGGATTATGGGTGAAGGAGCTCCTAGGAGTGTTGTGGGCCTACTAGACAATGACAAGTAACCCCACTGGCGATACTCCTTTCTCCCGCTCCTTTGGGATAGAAGCAAATGTACCTGTTAAGATTGAGGTACACTCACTGAGGGTCCAACACCACAAACCATCCACCAATGACGAAGGCCTTTGCATCAACCTTGACTTTATAGAGAAGGGAAGAAATATGGCTATGATCAGGAATGCATAATACAAGCATCGCATGACCAAGTGCTATAACTCTAGGGTGAAGCCCCGCTCCATCTTACCTGGGGACTTAGTCCTTAAGAAGGTGATACTAGCCACTAAAGATTTATGCAAGGGGAAGTTAAGACCAAACTGGGAAGGGTCATATACTATGACGAAAATTATGAGGCCAGACACTTACAGAATTCAGAATTCTAAAAGAAAAGTCTTAGCTCATTCGTGGAATGCTGAACATTTGAAGAGGTATTACAAATAATGCGAGGGAACCAAAGTAATAAAACTCTAGGATTTTATTTAGTCTCAAACCTAGACTTATACCTTTTTTGGAATTACTAAATAAAATTTTTTGGGATTGCCATCTACCACTATTTATTATAAGAAGCTATCAAACAAAAAGTTTTGGGAATTTATTTCAAATTTGCCATGATTTTCATTTCATAAGATGTTTGGAAACAAAATCCACTTCCACAAAAGTCAGAACACAGTCTAATGCTATATACCTACCAAAAAAAAAAACTAAATAAAAGAAAAAACAAGAAAAAAATCAAATATCCTTAGAACTATGACTGCTGTCGCTGATGTCATCCTCTTCATTGCAATCTAACTCCCGATTACTAGGGCTCTCGCCATCAACATCAATATCCAACTCCTCATAAGGAACGAATCCCGAGAAGTCCATGTTAGGAAAAGTAGCTAAAGCTTTCCTTCTAAACTCCCCATAGCTATCAATAAAGGCATCCACAGTGCTATCCTGTAGATCATCCTTTCTCCTCTTCTCCATCTCTAGAGAGTGAGCCTTTACTTTGGAAGCCCTCTCATTGGTCGACTATACCTCTACCTCAAATCTAGAAGCCCTCTTATGAGCTTCCTGTAGCTTTACCACAACTCGGGTGGTCCTCTTATAGGCTACCTACGACTCCGTCTCCGCTCTCGTGTGGGCAGCCTCACCATCAGCCTCTATCTTAGTGGCTCTCTTGTGGGTCGCTAAAAGCTCGACCTCAGGAGGTACAACTCTCTCATGAGCCACCCTTAACTGCTCCTCAATAGCTTGTATAGCCTATCTCTCCTTCATCAGAACCCTCGATATATGGTCATGATGAGTAGCACTTGCAAAAAAGCACGTTGTGACTGTGGACACCTACAAACATGCATAAAGAGAAAAAGGTCAGTGTCCTCAGAGGACATAAAAAATGAAATTCCATAGAAGCATAGATGATTACCCTGACATGCCCTCTATCATGGTGTTGATAACACCCTCGATACCCTGATGGCTGACTTCTCGAATGTCCAAGGGTGTCGCAAACCTCGAAAGTCATTCCCCAACTACATTCAAATTTTGAAGCATGGACATAGAAGGAATAAATGACATCCTAATCTTGCTAGAGAGTGAACTCCTGCCTCTTGAGATGCCCCAGCTAGAGTAGTAGCTAGAGAAGGTGCCTGGACAATTGGAACAAGTGGAGGAGTCACCTGTTGGGAACCCATATGAGCATCATCTGGTCTCACCCTCTTGGGTGGAGAAGTCGCCTGCACAACCCTAGTAGAGTAAATAGCCTCCACCCTAGACCTATTTACTATAGAACTAGAATAAAGAGAGTAAGCTTTCAAAGTTTAAGCTTTCAAAGTTGAAAATAATGTCAAAAATTCGCCACAAAAGATAACATATCTATCTTCTTGGAGGAAGTGTCGTGGGCCTATGAAGACGGTAAATCATCTCCAAAAGGGCAATCCCTTGCTTGACCCTTTCTAGACATAAGGGTCCCATTGTCCTTTACAAGGTGAGCCCTCAGGACTTGAGGCCTTCTCTCTTGGNCAATCCCTTGCTTGACCCTTTCTAGACATAAGGGTCCCATTGTCCTTTACAAGGTGAGCCCTCAGGACTTGAGGCCTTCTCTCTTGGTCTACCGACAACTCTGGCAAGCCTGAAAGAGAGTTGAAAATATAGTGAAGGCTAAAGTGACACATCAAAAAAAAAAAAAAAATACAGGGGAAGAATTTATATCTACCCTCTTGTGGGCACCCCATCCTATAAGAACCAAAGTCCGGTCCTCCTCAGTAGCCCACTCGTCTCCTACAAACAAAATCGAGTCCTCCAACTAGGGCAGTTGGAGTGCAGTCCAGTGATCAGCTTTCTTGCCCTCGGAGAAAAGTTGTACCATCCTTCAGGGGCGGATTCACAGTGGGGGCAATGGGGGCAGCTGCCCCCACTGAAATTTTAAAAATTTTTGGGGACTAAGTGTAATTTTAAAAAATTTAGAATTTATTAGATATTTGCCCCCATTGATTTTTATTTAAAAGATTTAAGGGTATTTATGTTTTTTTAACAAATATATGAGTCTCACTTGTAAATATCAATGAAAGATGATATCAAAAATTTGGACATTTAAAGATTAACTAATATGTTACGAAATATGTTAGCCCTCTTATTTGTTTTATGTTTATACATCGAACTAAATTTAGGATTTGTAATCCTCTTATTTGTTTTATGTTTATATGTTAGAATTGAAAATTAGGGTTTGTAGCCCTCTTTTGTGGTTTATTTTTTAAATGTTGAATTGAAATTAGCGCTTGTAGCTCTCTGTTGTATTTTATTTGTTGCATGTTGAATTGAAAATATAAAATTGGGGCTTGTAATCATCTCTTATGTTTTATTTTTTATGTATTGAATTGAAACTACGATTTGTAGTCTTGTATTTATTTTTCTATGTTGAAATAAAATTGGGGCTTGTAGTTCTCTTCTATGATTTATTGTTTTATATATTTAATTGATATTTGGATTTGTAGTCCTCTCTAGTATTTTATTTTTTATATATTGAATTGGAATTAAGNGATTTGTAGTCTTGTATTTATTTTTCTATGTTGAAATAAAATTGGGGCTTGTAGTCCTCTTCTATGATTTATTTTTTTTATATATTTAATTGATATTTGGATTTGTAGTCCTCTCTAGTATTTTATTTTTATATGTTGAATTGGAATTAAGACTTGTAGTCGTCTCATTTGTTTTATTTCTATTTGTAGAATTGGAATTTGGACTTGTAGTCCTCCATTATAATTAGACTAAATTATTTTGATTTAGTAGTTTGAACAGTTTTATTGTGATAAGTTAAGTACTTCATATACCTAGGTTTAGTTTACTAGAATAATTATACTTTAAGTTAGTTTCGATTGTTTGTTAAAATTTAATGATGAATATTAAGTTTGTGATTGAACAAATTAATTTTTGAATTAGTTATGAAATTTTTTCTTAAAATTTAATATATGATTGAGCCCAATTTTGCGGTTCAAAATTTTTTTGTTAAGTCTTATAGATAAATCTATAATGAGTTTTTCTTATTGGCTCATTTTGTATATCGCTCATGTATATGAATTGCGTCTTTAATTGGTGTTCTATTAATAAAACTATACTTTTGTAAATATTTTAAATTTTAATATTAATATAGTTTAAGTTGCCCCCACCGGGGAATATGTCTGGCTTCGCCCCTGCCNTCTTATAGATAAATCTATAATGAGTTTTTTTTATTGGCTCATTTTGTATATCGCTCATGTATATGAATTGCGTCTTTAATTGGTGTTCTATTAATAAAACTATACTTTTGTGAATATTTTAAATTTTAATATTAATATAGTTTAAGTTGCCCCCACCGGAGAATATGTCTGGCTTCGCCCCTGTCATCCTTGATTGGGAGTGAGGTTCTTATGTAATGTATAACTAGCAAAAAATTTTCATATGAGGGAAAGACACCTTTGCCATGAACACGTCTCCACAATGTGAAGAATTTCGACAACACTTTCCAGCCGTTAGGGGCCAACTGCCCTGGCATGAGTGACGAGTGTGCCAGGATGCGACACACAGGTGAAGGCATCAAGAACCTTAGACATCTCAGTCCCGCGACACAACACCACAGGGAGAATGCAAAAAGTGGATATAATACTAGCAATCTCAGCATCAGTATTAAGGGAGCTAGAAATAGAGCTCACCTTAGAGCCATTGTCATCAATGGCCAACTTACCGTGATACTTGCATCATTGTGGATGTGGGAGAACACTACCTTTATCACCTCTTGCCTCCTTCCTAGCACCTAGCCTGTATGCCTGCGTCATGGTGCCTGCCATTTATGCCCAAGCACCCGTGCCTGCACCTGCCCATGTGCCCACGCTTACTTGGGCGCCCTCGCTCGTGCATGCAGTGCCTCTATCTATGCCCGCATCTGTGGCAGCCTCCATGGCTCCGGAGCCCGTGACATCTCTACCTGTGCCTACCTCGACAGTGCTCGCGCCTACCTCCACCGCGCCCTCACCTATGACACCTCTACCTGTCTTGGCGGCCTAGGCTCCTTGACCCATACCTATGCTTACATTGCCACTAGCTCGTGCCATGGTGCCCTCATCTGTGCCTTCTGTGGCGTCTCTTGGTGTCGCCTTACCTAAGGCTTCCATTTGAGTCCCAATCTACTCGACATCTCACTTCTCTCTATTCTTTCTTAGACAAAGTTTTGAGAATTGATGTGAAGACACCTTATTTATAGCCAAAGTTTCAGATTTGGTAGCATCCTAATCAAGTTGGGAGTCTCAATAGGATTGGAATGAAGTCTCCTAATCAGGGTGGAAGAAGATATCCAAAATAGCCTATAATGAGAAATCCTAATCAAAGTGGGATAAGGAGCCCTATCTAAAGGCTTAAGGAAAGAGATAAACTCCACAGAAGAAAGTCAAAACAATGATAAGTCTCCACCAGCAGAGAGTGCCCACCAACCCAGGAATTCAAATCTCAAAGCGATATCTGCAAGGACACAGTTAATACTTGGGAACAAGGGTATAGAGTAGTGGAAAAATTTATCCTTGCTAATGTCCTATCTCCCAAATTCAATCAAGCTTAGGGCATGGGGTAAAATGATGGACCAAACCCAGACCGGGCCCAGAATTATGGACTAGACCTAGAATCACAGACCAGGCTAGCTTAGAGGCCCAGTTTAGGAATATAGGCCAAACCCACCATAGGAAGGATGAAGTTAGTTCAAGTCAACAATGCCATCTTGAGAGAAATTTAGGCTAGCTGCCTTATGGCGAGAGACTCAGTCTACAACTGACATGTGAAGAAATCTCTTTGGGATGCACACGTCACCACCTCCATAGAATTGTCTCGCCTGTTACCAGAAGGGCACCACTTCTATCAAACTACCTCATCTGATATGAGAAGGGAACTTCAATCTTTTAGGAAACACCTATAAATTGAAGTCTCACCTACACAAGGGGGCATCTCTTAGATATAACTCACATCTGAGCATTCTATACTACTTGAAAAATAAAACATTCAGGTCATCCCAGCCCTTCACAGTGGAGTAGGTCACCTTGACCGAACCATTTAAATTATGTTTTGCTTGGGGTAATTCTCATCATTTATTATTGCATTTAATATTTGACAAATGATGCATAAACACGTTTTGTGCATCATCAATATAGATATAGATATGAACCTTATTTAGTGACCTTATTATTCTCTGTTATTAGATTGACAATAGACCTCTCTATTAGTTGGGATCAATTATTAATTCAATGACTATGATCTATTATGTCACAAAATAAGATCACTAAATTAGCTACATATAACATTTCCCGAGTCAGTATCACTTAAAATCTCTCCCTCTGTTTTTCAATCATGTCTTTCTCTCTATCCAAACTTATCTTTTCCTCATTGCCTTGTGGTGTTCTATGGCACCCAATTCACACCTTTGATCTGAAATCGATTTCAAGTGGAGTTAAAGTTTTTAGGTCAAACTAACAAATATGAGAAAACATTGATACGCTTGACGAACATAATTAAATATTGGTGGCGGGTATGCAGTGGATGGGATGGAGGTAGAGATTGTTGGGGCCTCATGGTGGGTGGGTTTGGTGATTCTATAGGAGTAAATCTGTGAGGGTTAATGTGTAGTGTGTTTCACGAGAGAGATGAAAAACTAGAGTAGGAGGGAGACAACCTATTTGGCATGAGACCCACTACCTTTCCTGTCAATTTCTGAATGGCTTTTCATAAACTAAAAGGTTTATAATTCATCCGGAAATAATACGAGGAACTTCTCCAAGGCAGTGCTACTTTGGATTCATCACACGAGAGTAAATTCAAAATACTTGCAATAACTTATAAATCATAGGTATCGGTTAAGTCTTACAAATCACAAGTATCAGTTAAGGGTGAAAGACATCAGTAAGAATTGAACTTTTGAAATCTAGGTCTATGATTCTTTAAAGTCTAACCCTACATCGCTGAGCTTAATTTAATTTCTTTTTATATTCATATTTTCTATGAGTTGTTGACTTTGTCTCACATTATTATGTAAAACTAACTGAAATTTTCTAATAATATTATGTGGATTGGAAGGGGTGTGGGTGTGACATGGGTCATTTGGTTGGAAAGGAACACAAAATTTTTTTAGGACAAGTTAGAGAAGATTGAAGGTCTTTGGAAGAGGATACACTTTCTGGCTTCTTTTTACAGAAGGTAAAATATATTCATAAATAAAGAAGGAGAAATACAAGATCAAAAAATAGAGGGTGATGCTCACATGACAATGCCAATGTGTTTGTTCCTCTGTTTTTGAATGTGCAGTCCCATGTTGATGGAAGCCTTTTTGCTTTCTTTGTCTCTTATTGAGTCTTGGTTTTGTTGTAAATCTTTTGGTTCTACTTTTGTAAATCAAGGTTGGCACTTTCTTTAGAGTTCTTGACTCTCTCTTTTTTCCATTACATTGAGTTGGACAACCTCTTGTGCATGGTAGTTTTGTTTTGATTGAGTTTTTTCTCCAAATGTTTTTCAGTTTATTTTTCCTGCTTTTTATGTGTCTTGGGGTGGAACAACTTGTCCACCCTTGGCATGTCTTTTGTAACTCCCTTTTTGATTTTAATAATAGTTTTGTTTCCTATTAAAAAAAGAAATGTGGTATAACCCAACAATAATTTGATCAGAACCATCCTATGCAAACATCAAATAATATAATTTCCTACAAAATTCAGATTGTTCCCTCATTTACACTTAACGCCATATAGCAAATCTACGTCGCTATACTTAACCACACTGCAATTAAAAAATTTAAAGGCATAAACCCTAATTTCATTAAGAGTAAGCATAGTCAATTTTTCAACTCCGATGTACTAGGGGCCATGATCTGCCTCAAAATAGGCTCATCCTGTCTACTCTCAGCCCTTGAGAAATACATATGGCGCAAAGCCTAATATAGTTTGTTAAGNTTTTACAGAAGGTAAAATATATTCATAAATAAAGAAGGAGAAATACAAGATCAAAAAATAGAGGGTGATGCTCACATGACAATGCCAATGTGTTTGTTCCTCTGTTTTTGAATGTGCAGTCCCATGTTGATGGAAGCCTTTTTGCTTTCTTTGTCTCTTATTGAGTCTTGGTTTTGTTGTAAATCTTTTGGTTCTACTTTTGTAAATCAAGGTTGGCACTTTCTTTAGAGTTCTTGACTCTCTCTTTTTTCCATTACATTGAGTTGGACAACCTCTTGTGCATGGTAGTTTTGTTTTGATTGAGTTTTTTCTCCAAATGTTTTTCAGTTTATTTTTCCTGCTTTTTATGTGTCTTGGGGTGGAACAACTTGTCCACCCTTGGCATGTCTTTTGTAACTCCCTTTTTGATTTTAATAATAGTTTTGTTTCCTATTAAAAAAAGAAATGTGGTATAACCCAACAATAATTTGATCAGAACCATCCTATGCAAACATCAAATAATATAATTTCCTACAAAATTCAGATTGTTCCCTCATTTACACTTAACGCCATATAGCAAATCTACGTCGCTATACTTAACCACACTGCAATTAAAAAATTTAAAGGCATAAACCCTAATTTCATTAAGAGTAAGCATAGTCAATTTTTCAACTCCGATGTACTAGGGGCCATGATCTGCCTCAAAATAGGCTCATCCTGTCTACTCTCAGCCCTTGAGAAATACATATGGCGCAAAGCCTAATATAGTTTGTTAAGTCATAAAAATATACACAAGCCTTTTCTTTTAAACATGAGGTTGTTATATCAAACAAAAAAGGAAAGAAAAAAAATCAAAAAATGAAACTACCTGAGCCGAATCAATACTGTCATGATGAAAATGACATATTTTCCCCAAAGCAGAAACGATGTTACCATATGCCATAACACATTATCAGGTTGTAGTGCATTAGACTGTCCTATCACAACATTTAGTCTTGAAAGAGCCTCTGAACAAGGGCACAAAAATTGTCAACTCCAACACACACACAAACATATAATGAAAGAAAGAACTCCACTCCATTATGTGCAAGCAGATTGTACCTCCAACAAGAGGTTTGAACATAGAACCACCATATTCGTCACAAACACCAAGTCCGTACACAGCTGCCTGAAAATAACAATTATACCATTTGAATGGATCAATATCCTGATCAGTTAGAGTCAAAAAATTTAGCGTTGCATATCTATTCTGACTTGTCAGACGTCTGGGTTTTCATCATACCTGCATACACACAGAGGACAATAGAATTTGCTTAGGGAGGAAAATGAGCAAGAAGGAGAAGTTTTGACCAAGTTCGCAATCAGATACCTCTTTTGAGTTTTCACACAAAGTGTCACTTTCTTTATTTAACGGTGTAGAACATTAGATTTATTTATTGCTTCACATATTAATTTCTGGTTCAGGTTGGTGAAATCTTGGGAACTTTGATAAAAACATTCAAGGCATCTTTCTTACCTTTTTTTGATGAGCTGTCATCATATTTGTTGCCTATGTGGGTACGTTTTGCCACAAGTCACCCTTTTTTCCAACTTCAGAGATTTGTTTTATTTTTTAATGCTTGGTTTATTCTGTAGATGAATTTTGTGCATGCAGCTATCTGTATCATGTTTCTTATTTATGAATTGCTGATATTTAATGCAGGGCAAGGACAAAACAACTGAAGTTAACTAAGAAACAGAGCACATGCAAACACCATAACAGAGCTATTATTATTATTCTAATTACAAACAATGACATTATTGAAAAACATACTAGACTATTGTCTGCCCTAATCTAAATGGAACCACATAACCTGCTAGTCTATGTCTTTGAAACACACCTTCAAGTAAAAGAATTCAAAATGACGTTTTTGATAACAAAACATAGAAAAACTGAATGATTGAACTTTTTTTAATCTTAGGGACAACTTAACAAACATAACCCACTGAAACAATTACAAATACAAAACAATTCAATATATAGGCTTATCACATATAATCGATCCGAAAAACAAAGTGATTTTGCTGAAAATCAATATCATTTTGGTTGAATTGGGTAGTCAGATGATGTATATTTTGCCTAAACCCATCAAGAAATTGAGAGGAATCAGAAAATCAATACGAAGCATGCATGCCACAAACAAGGGCCTTCTCTGCATCAAAAAGAGAAACAAGAAGGGGATTGCAAAGCTCCTGTTGTTCAACTTTATTGTCATTGCCTTCACAATTAATAAATTCCATAAAACAAATCATGAATATAAATAAACTACGTTTTCTATCTTTTTTTTTTTTAATACTTTGACCTTATTTCAGTAAATGAAATTACTGGGTTTGGGACTGTTGATTTAAGAGCTCGAATTTTGGGATGATAAATCTAAGTGGTTAACCTAAATAAATAAGTCAAAATTTTATCAATAGTAATGAAATAACTCGAATCAAACATTATTGCCATAAGCAAAATTTTGGCTAAACCATGCAAATCTCATGTGTATTTATATATGCATATTTTTAAAGAATGAAGAACAAAACCTACCCGGAGTGACTGCTTTGACTTAGAGTTCTTGGGCTTGCTCAATTTGAGAGAGACAAAGGGAGAGAGAACCATAGGGAGTGAAAGACAGTGGAGAGTTGTAGCTAGAGAAAAAGAAGGAGACGTGCGAAGAGAGAAGAGGCATGGGACTAATAATCGGATGAAAAAGAAAGCAGTTTTTCATTGGGTAAATTACATCAAGACCCCTTAATTTTTTCACTAAAATACACAGACCCCCCTGGTATGACATCTTACATTGAAACCCTTTGTCAATAATAGCCAGACTAACCCACCTGACAGAATTAAGTGGGTTGGTTTTAATTATTTCTATAAGGGTATTTTGGAAATTAAATTCTTAAAATACGGTAACATAATTAAAGTTTGACAGTGTTTCAAATGGTTTTTAATGGTAGGTATCTATGTATTACACGCATACAAACTTTGGGAAGTGTCAGGGTAATGTGTTTTAGTGACAAAGTTTAAGGGAAGTTAATATAATTTACCCTTTTTTAATAATCAACTGTTTAAAGATTAATTATCATTTTGGTAATTAGAATTAATAAAACATCGTTTTGGTTTAGGCATTTACAATAGGAAAAAAATCAACGCAAAAAGAGAAATTTTTTTTTAAACAAATTTACTTTTTGCCACGGCAACGATTTCCTATTGCAAAAAAATTTTAATTTTTGCCATGGCAACAATTTCCTATGAGAAAACAATTTTACTTTTTGCCACGACAATGATTTCCTATTGCAAATATGCCATTTTAAACATCAGCATCAAGAACAGTTGCAAAAAAAATATTTTTGCTGTTGTAAATATTCTGTTGCAAAAAAAAGTGACGCAAAAATCCTAAATTCTTGTAGTGGTAGGAGGTGGAACACGGAGAAGAGAGTAGGGAGAGAGAGAGGGAGAGAGAGAGAGACAGAGAGAGATCTTAGAGAGGTTTGTTGTCGTGGGAGGCACTAACAATTTACTTAAATGGGCTGAGGTGGTGGTGGCTAGACAGCGATGTGAGAGACATGGAATACTCTATTCTTCCCAGTAATGAGTGGTACACCTTTGTTATGAGTGTTACACCTATGTTAATTACTTTAAGTGCTCTTCACATTCATCGTACTCCATAAGAATCATGTCAGCTAATTAAAAATATTGGCATTAGACAAAATAAGTTAATCACAACAATCGCACAAGCAAGTGATTAAATCCATATTGTACAAAGGATAATTCAAAACAATAAATAGTATCGCCATTGACTTGCTTTTCTTTGTGAAAATTCGCTTCATTCATGATACCTTATTTGCACCATTCGTATTATATATAGATAGATTACAATATGGAAACTTGAAAGAAATCCAATAAAATGGAAAAATAAGTATCCATCATGTACAAAGGATAATTCAAATCAATAAATAAGTAGCCATTGACTTACTTTCTTTGTGAAAATTTACTTCATTCATGATACCTATTCTACACCACGCCTACCATGCACCAAAGAAATCCATTCTTGGCCAATCAATCCACTTCCTGAAAATTCCCAAACAATAAAAATCACAGACTCTTCAAATTCACCTTATTGCAAGAGTTGTGTTGTATGTGTGAGTGTGCATGAGACAGAGAGGGATAGGAAGACAAAGAGCGAGACGAAGTAAGAGAGGGATTAAATAAATCAGTAAGAGATTTTTCTAGATCATAATTCATCTGTAAGAACATTAATGCAAAAAAATCTAAATAAAATATGTGATGAAACAAATCAATAAGAGATGTTGTTAGAGGTAGTAAATAAATAATAGACTTAGATTGCCAAAAATAGTCATGCCATCCATTTTTATGTGGTTGTGTGGTTGCAACGGTGGTGGCTAAATTGTAAAGTTCATAAACAAAATATAATTAACACCAATTTCTATAAAATTTTGTTTATTATCCAACAGATTCCTTAGTCCTCAAAACACAAGCCAACCAAAGAATGGTAATTATATTTAGCAAAACAAATGATTAGCACATTTTGCTTAAAAATAATTTCAAACCATGCTTCCTAAGAATACCAAACTAACAATATAATTTAAATTGACAATATCTGTCAAGAACACCAAATAATATTTGTATTATGTAGAGTACATTAATTTAATGAGCTCATGCAAAGTTCTATGAATACTTTACCTGCGGTAGTTTGGACCAAGAAATAGAGTTGAATAGAAAGAGTTGATCTGAGAACCTGAAATGATTCAACAACGAAAAAGACAAAAAAATAGCAAAAATACATCAAGATAATACAATTGAAAACAACAAAAACTAAATAGTGAACCGAGCATAGTACTTTGTCCTGTCCATATAGAGCCCACAATAGATTTTGCAACGGAAGGGACTTAAAGACACTTTCATATAAAAAAAAATTCATTCCAAATAATTTGGCCAGCAGCAATCAAGTAACATTGTTTGTCATAGCACCAAATAACTCTAAAATTCATTGTTCTATCTACATGATCAATTGTTGGTTTAATAATATATTTTTAGAAAATCAATTTTTTTCTCCCTCAGAATCTCCTCTCCAATCATCTTTCTCAAAGGTTGAAATCCAATTCTCAAAACCCTTAATAAAATCACAACATAGAAAAGGAATTACACAACGAAGAGTTAACAGATGTAGCGGAAATCTATAATAGTACATCAACAACATTTTTACAAAGAAAACATGACCCAAACCAAATTACCTTTGTACTTTCTATCTTGCTTATTTAAAGAGCACATTTTTACAACAAGAAAAAATAATAAAAGCACATCAACAACCCATAAAAGGATGCGACACATTGTGCAAATTATGCACCTTTCACATTGCCTTATTGCAGCAAGCCATAACTAGGGGGTAACTGAAATATGAATAATATCCATACTCAGGAATTTGGATTTTTAATTTTATAGAAAAAATCTTACTAGCAGAACTCCATTGAGCGTGAATTAGGGGGTAATTGTTTCCCAATTAGGAAACTGATTTAACGTTGAAGACTACTCTTACCGTCATCAGAAGGGCAACTTGGACTTATTAAAATTTTTTAGACTTAACTACTTACTAAATAGATAATAATAAAAATTAACACCAAATATATTTAAGTGATGAACTTAACTCAATATAAGTTAAGAAATTTGAAAGTCGGTACAAAAATTTGGACTTAATTGAGCTAAATTATATTAAGAAAATTTATTTGGTCCTAAGTACATTTAAAAAAAAAAGATTAAAAGGCTATTCATTACTCTATTATTTTCTCTCTCTCTCCCACTCCCTCCATTACTCTCTCNGAGCTAAATTATATTAAGAAAATTTATTTGGTCCTAAGTACATTTAAAAAAAAAAAAGATTAAAAGGCTATTCATTACTCTATTATTTTCTCTCTCTCTCTCCCACTCTCTCCATTACTCTCTCACTCTCTCTTCCCTATTTTCTCTCTATCTCTCTCTCTCTCTCTCTCCCATTGATGATTTTATTTTCTTTTTAAGATTTGATTTGATTTTTCATCTCTGTCTCTCACTCTTCTATTTTCTCTCACCGTTACTATTTCTCTCCTTATTCTCTCTCTCTCTGTGTATCTCCTTATATCAACGTTACAACAACATAATTATACTAATAAGTTATATCAATTAGTTACAATTATCCTATACACCCAATTTGGTGTATATAATTGGTGTAGTCATGTCGTGATACTAAATGATGTAAATTTTTGATT